TCACTGTTGGGGGGGAGTGCGCACCTCTGGGAAGTCCGGAGTTGCAAACTATTTGTAGATGTAGAAGGGTCCGAAGACTACGAACTTCCGAAGTACGCAGAAGACTCATCTTATGAAACAAGCGACGGTGTCGTGACTGCAACAATTGCATTGGCATGGCAGGCAGTGCGGCAGGATACTCACCTGTTAACTTGTTATTACTTGTTAAGTTCTTAGTAGTTACGTGATGCAGACATAGAAACATTGCATAGCCAGCAAAACAGAACACTGCAAAATTGTGCAAATGGTCAAATGACAGAAAAAACCACACACGCACACTGCAACACGGGAGGAATGGACAAAATGTCAACTTAAAGACTTAAGCAAGTTAAGTTACTTAACTGATAATAAGAAGATGAACTACAACTTCGAGAAGTTGTAGTTCACAATTCTTACTTTGTTCCAAGTTTAACCAAACATCAAAAGATAAACTGCGAAACTGCGAACTTTGCAGTCAGCAGCATCAACTCGGCCTAAGTTTCCTAATCCTCTGCACCTCCCCGTGTAGAAGTCTCACCCTCTTCCTCTGCGACCCTTTCCTCTTTCTCCTCCCCTTCCTCTTCCCCCTCCCCTTCCTCTTCCTCCTCGCCTTCCTCCTCCTTCTCGTCTTCCTCCTCCTCCTCCTCGTGCTCAATTCCCTCCTCAACACTCCGCGGTTCTTCGTCGATGGGATCATGATCTTCATCATCCCCTTCCTCTGATAAATTTGAAGACGACGAACATGCTTTCGTGCCATCATCGTCGATGATGTCGTCCCTCTTTCTTGTTTTTGCTGCTGCTTTTTTCTTTGCAGCAGTTTTTTTTTTTCTCGATGCCTCCACCGCAGCCTTTCTCTTCTCAGCTTGCATTGCTGCTTTTCTTGCTGTGACCTCTTTGTTGGTCGGTTGCCCTCTCCTCCGTTTTTCCGGAAGTGCAATGACCTCCTTCGCAGCACGTTTACCATCACAACGACACTTATCACCGCGCCGCACTTTACGTTGCCTACTGCTTCCGCCTTCCTTTCGACCCTCCACCCAACCGCCCGTCTCTCGAGCCCGCAGCGCCAGCTCCCGGTCCTCCTTGTTACACCGCACTTCAAGTGTTGGGCGCTGATGGTCCGACAACCTTTGCAAGGCACGCTCCAGCTGCCTCCCCGGCCGAGTGTTGAAGTGTCAGTCATTTGTGTACTTATCTATGTGCGCAAGGCCCTCCTCCTGGTCCATTGCATTGTCCACCTCGTCATTGCGCAACCACTTCCTCGCCATCGCCGTTGTCCTCCGACTTGTCTTCCTCCTCTGACGCGTCATTCCCTCCACTCGATGTGTTGTTCGTCACCCGTTTCACCCATTCATTGTAAAATTGCTCTGCCTCCTCCTTCAACTCGGCATCTGGCATTTCCTCCACCCACGGAATGTGGACATCATCCACACCACGACTGTGCTCTTGCCTCCACTGCAGGTGGAGGTTCCAATTGTTGTAGACGAGCTTTGATAGGCGGGTGGGCATAAGCTTCGTCCTCCTCCTGCTAAAAACGAGCTCATGCAGACTCCAGTTGCGTTCGCATGCCGCAGAAGAGCTTGCCTGACCCAAGAGTCTGATCGCTTGGGGCTGCAAAAGATGCATCAACGAGCCAAACGCATCCCACCACATCGTCGGGGTCTTGGTGCGTGCTGCGCGCAAAGCTTCCTCTGATTGCAAGGCCCCCCTCAAATTCACCCACTCGTCAACCTGCCAGCTCACGTCATCGAACATCTCGTTCGTGCACCACGTGTACAACCATATGTTGAACCCGGCTCGGATCTCAGTGTCTTTGAAGGAGCCCTGCGATCAGTACTCCGGGTCCAAGAAGGCTGCTGCACAGTGCAACTCTGAAGTCATGAACGCATATCGCTCCATGAGGATCGACTCGACCTCTACCTTCTCGAAGTCTGTCAAGATGTCCAACTTGCGAATCGACTCSACCACACAATCCATTCGATGATAAACCTTGGCGATTGTTGCGCCCGGACCATCGACAAGCTTCGRTAGCGTCACGATGGGGTCCGTGGTYCTCAAGGCCTTCTCCACCCGCTCCCAAAAGCYGCCATCCAGGATAGTCGTCGTCACCTCCTCGAATTGAGAACGCAAGTGGGGCGGCACTATGGACGACACCCACCCGCTGGCAGCCACAGTCAATTTCAGGGCGTTTCTCCTGTCCCACAGCGACTGCAATATGATGATGTTGTTCGCGAATCGAGTGACGCCCGACCTCTTAATCTGCACACCACCCGATTTGGTCAGGAAGAGTGTTCGAAMCTTGTCGTGGTTCATCACGAACTTCCCCAGCACATTCCCTCTCTTCACAGTTTCCRCAAACCACGGAATGCGCTTGTCCATGTCCTCCAATGCGAGGTCAAAGGCATGCGCCGTGCAACCCACCCGGAATATCCACGGGTATTTTTTCTCCACCAACTTCCCGACCTTCACACAAACCCGGGCATTATCCATGATTACCCCAACCACGCTTCTTGGGCCAATCTCCTCAATCGCAGTGGTTAGTATTTTGTAGTACGCACTGGCGTCTTTGTCCTTTCCGGCTACTCATACYGACTTCCAAAAGACGGTGCCGATGGGAGAGGACACCATGACGTTTACGTGCGGTCTTCCCCGCCGGTCAGACCACCCATMTACTTGCACCATACAGCCTGTRCGAGCCCACTTCTTCGCCAACCTTCCCACGTCCTCGACCGCCCTCTGGTGTTGTCCGTTCAATCGACCATTGGGCACCGCCTCTCTCGAGTGCAGTCTCCACGATGGGTGGGCCTCTCGTATGGCGTTGACCATGTTGAGGAAGAACTCGTTCTCAACCATGTTGAATGGTTGGTTCGTGCACGTCATCCACCGGTCTACTCTTCTTGATGTCTGCTCGTTCTTCGTGACAACACTGTCGGTCTCCTCCAACAGCATCTGTCGCATTCGTGCAGCAGATGCACTTGTGCGTTGCACCGTCATACCTGGCCCGCTGTCGCCCACCCCAGCATCACAAGCATCACCCACCGCTTCGCCACAAGCATCGCCGACCCCTTCCACCAACCCCCCGCCCATAGAAGCAACCACCAAACTGATGAGAGCAGGTAGGGCATTGGCACCGTCCCTCGGCATACCCGCGTCTATCCTTGTCTGCCTCAATCCTTCCTTCCTTTTCAATATTTCCTCTGCGGTCAACGTTTTCGTTGATTTCTCAACTGCGCAAACCCCTTTCGTGAAATGTTCCTTCAGGCGATTGAGATTGCCTGAAAAATTTAGATCGCAGTAATGGCAGACCCACCACTTTACCCCCTTCGAAGGATCCTTACCCGAGGGGCCAAGGACTTCGAAATGGCGCTTGACAAGGCTGCCCTCATGCTTGCGGCTCGACATGACAACCTGCACGCAACAATGATAGAGCCAGAATATCAACCCCTCTCCACCTACACGCAGAATAGCACTCCCGGCTTCGAGAGAGAGACGAGAGATGGAGGAGAGATCGAGGAGAAATGGAGGAGATGGAGGAGAGAGGGAGGATAGATATGGAGGAGAAATGGAGGAGAGAGGGAGGACAGATGGAGGAGAAATGGAGGAGAGACGGGTGTAATAATAAGAAATCTGGAGGAGAAATAGACGAGAGATGGTGGAGAGATGGACGAGAGATGAAGGAGATATGGAGGAGATATGGAGGAGAAATGGAGGAGATAGATAGATAGATAGATAGATAGATAGATAGATAGATAGATAGATAGAGAGAGAGAGAG